CACACCTGACTCGCAATCTCCCTTCGAGGCGTAGGATCCAGGCTGGTAGCATGAGCCGAGCACAGCCTGCCAGGCTGAATGGGCGGAATGAGCCCAGCAGACTCGAGCAAAACTCACACAGAGGCACCACTTGCCACAGGGTTTTCTGGCCAGAAAAGCGACACCCCAAAGTTCCTGTAACAAAATGTTGCCTCTCCCATCCAACCCAATTGGAATTTGCTAGTCTGAATATTTGCGTCATCCCAAATTATATGTTGAAATCCTAACCCCCAAGGTGAGGGCATCAGGAGGTGGGGCTCTGGCAGGTGAAGAAGTCCTAAGGCAAAGCCCTCGTAAATGGGATTAGTGCCTTCATAAAAGAGACCTCAGAGCCTTCTCACCCTTTCTGCCATGCAAGTATACAGCGAGAGGACAGTCATCTGTGAACAGAAAGTGGACACTCCCCAGATATCAAATGTGCCTGCACCTTGATCTTGGACTTCCTAGCCCCTGGACTGTGAGAAATAAATTTGTGTTGTTTATAAGCCATCCAATCTATGGTATTTCGTTGTAGTAGATGGACTAAGACAGAATCTAAGACACAAAAATTTCACATGTGAGTCTGGCCCATTTATAAATTCCAGCAAAATCCAAATGTCTGATGGACCAGGCATTAAACAAAAAGTTCTGACTAGCAGTGCACTTTTGGACGCTGGTGCTGACATTCAAGTTCAAGTTCTTTCTCTTACAGCAGCAGCCCTGGAGTTTCTTTTAGTCCCCTAAGTTGGTTGGAGTTTTGTGGTTGTTTCATTCTGTATTTATGGGTACTCATTGCAAGCCTGTCATCTTAGAACAGAGACTCACTTGGTGCAACCCTCATCCTGCAGCCATTGGCCTTCCTGGCCTAACCTGGTCCACAACCATCTCTACTTCGAAATGCATTTTTAGTTCTCCTTAGTTCGGCACAAGAGGGATGGGTTGTGCACTGTCCAATTGAACTACCTGTCCAGTGTTGTGAGACTCTAAATGGCATGGGGAGAGACTATATAGAAATATGAATAACAGGCCAGGTGTGGTGACTCACACCTGTAATCCCAGCACTTTGAGAGGCCAAGGTGGGCAGATCACCTGAGGTCAGGAGTTCAAGACCAGCCTGGCCAACATGGCGAAACCCCATCTCTACTAAAAATATAAAAATTAGCCAGATGTGATGGCACATGCCTGTAATCCCAGCTACTCAGGAGGCTGAGACAGGAGAATAGATTGAACTCAGGAGGTGGAGTTTGCAGTGAGCTGATATCATGCCACTGCACTCCAGCCTGGGCGAAAGAGTGACTCCATCTCAAAAAAAAAAAAAAAAAAAGAAAAGAAAAGAAAAGAAATATGAGTAAGAGCTGACTTTCACTGCTTCTAGCCAGGCACTATGCTGGGTGTTCTGCATGCATTATCTCAGAGGAGGAAACTGAGGCTTAAAGTGGATGAATAACTTGCTCTCAGTCACATAGCTGGCAGATTGAGATTTGGGTTGACTGCAGGTCTGACTGACTGCACTGTTTGAGCTTTTATGCCTATTCTTTACTGCCCTTTCAGTGAGTGCCAGGAAGTCTGGAGATAAGGGCTGTAGTAGCCCAGGAGGTTTCGGTGGAGGAAGGAGAAGTTGAATTGGATATTGAGGATTGTGTTAGAAAGACAATTTGGATTGTACCAGGGAGGGGGTAGGACAGAAAAACAAGCAGAGCAGGCTCCCTTGCTTTTGTTGTCTCCATAGAACAGTAGAAAAGGTGAATTAGACCATTTTGTGGTTGACATTACCAATTAATTTTAAATTCAATGCCTGCTTTGCCGTTGAGCTTAATCTTAATTATAGCAGATCTCTTCGTATTTCTTTTCTTTGGGCAGATTTGACAGGCAGGGGTTTTAAGTGTATCAAAGAGTGTCTGCACTGAGAGAAATTATTTATGTTGCATTAAAGTAATTGGCCCAATTCTCTGAACCAACAAATAAAATCTAATTCCTGTCTTAAAGGTAAAGAGTTATGTAATATGGGAAGAAAAGCATTCACTTAACTACCTCTCTTTTACTACTAGTACATGGTATAATGTCCAGGAAAGAGCTAAGATCAGCATATCTAGCTTGAACTTTGCATAGAGGTAGTGTCCTTGACTCAAGGCTTAATGCACATAAGTGTGCAAGGTATTTCAATAACACGGAGGTAACAGTCTGAGACACACATTTGAACTTAAATATTCTGCACATGACATCAGGATATACCACTGTCTTTTTTTATTCCACTTTGTGCCATCGTGCCATCTCACTATGAAAGTGCTTCTTATAAAATATTATTTCTGACCAGGCACAGCGGCTCACACCTGTAATCCTGGCACTCTGGGAGGCTGAGGTGGGTGGATCACTTGAGGCCAGGAGTTCGAAACCAGCCTGACCAACATGGTGAAACCCTCTCTCTACTAAAAATACAAAAAAAATATAGCCGAGCATGGTGGTGGGCACCTGTAATCCCAGCTACTAGGGAGACTGAGGCAGGAGAATCGTTTGAGCCTGGGAGGCAGAGGCTGCAGTGAGCTGAGATCATGCCACTGCACTCCAGCCTGGGTGACAGAGCAAGACTCCATCTTAAAAAATATATACATATTACATAAATATATAATATATGATATATAATACATATATAAAATATATAATATATGATATATAATACACATATAAAATATATTATTAATATAAAATATATAAATATATATAATTATACATTATAATATATTATTATATATAAAATAATGTATGTAGAATGCAATATATATTGCATATATATATATAAAATTTCTGAAAGAGCTGGACTTTGTTTCCAAGTCATTTAGTTTCTCCCAGGTTATGGAACCTGTGTCCTTGGCTTTAAATCATTTACCTCATTCACAGTTTCAATCCTCTTGTCTTTTTTGCAGAAAGTAATTTTTCCAGAGACATATTTTAATCCATGTAAGGGTGAAATTCCTTCGCTTTTTTTTTTTTAGCATCTTCAAAAGAACTTTTTCTATTTCAGAAAAAAACTGAAGTCAAGTGACTTCTTCCTCTATATCTGGGCAACCCAGTCTCTCTGTCCCTTTACAAAAATAGGCATCATTTCTGGCAGTCATGTAGTTTGTGTGGGACCAGGCCAACTTCAGCTCCAGCAGGCAGCCCTGATTGGTCAAGGCCACAATTGGCTAATCGAACCCACATGTCCACAGGATTTGGTTCAGGGATGAGCCAATCAGCACAAGTCTTTGAGCTGCCGTTGGTTGATTGTGGGAAACATATTTCCCTGTTGCATGGGAACAATGAAGCGTGTAAGTCTGATTGCAGCCAGCTCTTCTACAATCACCAGGAAATTAGCCCTAGGAGGCAAACAACAATTATATAAAAGAGAAGAGAGGTGGAAAGAAATTGAGTCCTCACATCATTGTAGCATCAGTGTAGTCCACGGTACCAATGGACTCCCATTTAGCTACTAAATCCCTTATTGTTGATGAGTTTCAATTGGGTGTTCTGTTACTTACAGCCAAAGGCATTTTATCTGATGCACCCACTACTGGGAAGTTGAGCTAAACACACGATACTACACCTCAAAATACAGTTTATCCAGTCTGAATGTCTAACAATAGAGTATTAGGTAACTTAAATTCTATCTATTGATGGTATATTAGGATGGACTAGGCTGTTGTAATAATAGAAACTTAACTTTCATTCACATCATAATCTGAAGCAAGCGATCCTGATCAGCAGATGGCTCTGTTCCATATGATTCCATTGGTTTTTCAGAAACCCAGGCTTCTTCCGCCTTTTGGCTCCCACATCCCCTAAGGCCTTGTTACCACCCTCATTAAGCTGGCAGAAAGGGAAGAAGCAGGAAGGGGCACACCCCTGCTTCTTAAAAACCTTGGCCCAGAAATGGTACAAACCATATCCACTCTACCTTGGCTAAAACTCAGTCACACAGCTGCATCTAACTGCAAAAGATCCCAGGAAGAAAAAGTGGACTTTGGATAATTAGCTGCAGACAGGATGCTTTACAAGCTTGTTAAATCACAGGGGGAAATGCTAACAGAGCAGTGTCTTCGGTACCCTCCCAGCAATTTTTTTTTTCTTTTTGATACAGAGTCTTGCTCTGTCACCCAGGCTGAAGTGCAGTGGCACGATCTCGGCTCACTGCAGCCTCCACTTCCCAGGTTCAAGAGATTCTCCTACCTCAGCCTCCCAACTAGTTGACATTACAGGCGTGAACCACCACACCCAGCTAATTTTTGTATTTTTAGTAGAGATGGGGTTTCACCATGTTGGCCAGCTGGCCTCGAACTCGTGACCTCAGGTGGTCCACCCACCTTGTCTCCCAAAGTGCTGGGATTACAGGTGTGAGCCACCCTGTTTGGCCCCTCCCAAGCCTTTTTTTTTTTTTTTTCTGTGAGACAGAGTCTTGCTCTGTCACCCAGGCTGGAGTGCAGTGGTGCAGTATCTCGGTTCACTGCAAGCTCTGTGTCCGGGGTTCAAGTGACTCTCCTGTCTCAGCATCCTGAGTAGCTGGGATTACAGGCACGTGCCACGATGCCCGCCTAATTTTTGCATTTTGAGCAGAGATGGGGTTTCACCATGTTGGCCAGGCTGGTCTCAAACTCCTGATCTCAAGTGATCCGCCTGCCTTGGCTTCCCAAAGTGCTGGGATTACAGGCGTGAGCCACCATGCCCGGCCCCCACTCCCAAGCTTTCTAAAGGCCCATATCTATAAGTACATGAGCTCTGTCTCTTTCTGCTTCAGCCCTGAGACAAGACTTTGTTTTATTCTTCATCCTTGTTCGTCTTCTGGCACCTTCCTAATGTTCCTAGCAAGCAAACATACTTTGCCATGCACTGGTAAACAATAAAGATTTTACTGAAGATCTGGTGTGATGACAGAAATGTAATCAAGGTCTTCCACGGATATCTGTTCTTTCCTGCAAAGCTCTCTTCCTCTGCCAGCAGCCTCACTTCACCTGTTTACTTTTCTCTGGTTGAATGCTTCCTTCCGATATCAGCAGCCCTAAAAGTCTCATCACCTGAGCAATTCGACTCTTACTCTTTGCTTCATGCCTGCTCAGCAAAAAAAAAACCAAAACAAAACAAAAACAAACAAAAAAACCAGAAACAACAACAACAAAAAAACCCCAGTATTAAATCAAAAGCTAACAACATATCTTTTTCCTCCAGCATACCACTCAGGGAACTTAGCATATAACTCACTGAACAAAAAGTTTTCTTCCGGGGGCAGAGTTGGGTGGGGGCTTCTTGCTAAGAAAATTAATTCTTGCCAGAAAAATTCATTTACATGGGAAAAAAGACTGAAAGGATATCCTAAAATGTTAACAGTATTTACCTCTAGGTAATTAAAGTTTTTTTTCTCTTGTATGTTCCTATACTTTCCTTTAATATTTGTTTCTGTATTTTCCAAATGTTCTACAGTATATGATATATTTCTTTAATTATCTAAAAAATATTTAGTAAAGAAATTTATCTTTTGTTCAACATCACTAATCATTAGGGAAATGCAAATCAATACCACAATGAGATACCACTTCACACTCGTTAGGGTGGATATTAAAAAAAAAAAAAAAAGAGCCTGGGCGTGGTAGCTCATGCCTGTAATCCCAGCACTTCAGGAGGCCACAGTGGGTGGATCACAAGGTCAGGAGTTTGAAACCAGCCTGGCAAACGTGGTGAAACCCCATCTCTACTAAAAATACAAAAAAATTAGCCAGTCATGGTGGCGGGCACCTGTAATCCCAGCTATTTGGGAGGCTGAGGCAGGAGAATCGCTTCAACCGGGAGGCGGAGGTTGCAGTGAGCCAACATCTCACCACTGCACTCCAGCCTAAGCAACAGAGCAAGACTCCATTTCAAAAAAAAGAACAAGTGTTGGTGAGGGTATGGGGAAATTAGAATGTTTGTGCATTGTTGGTGGGACTCTAAAATGGTACAGCCACCATGGAAAATGGTATGATGAGTCCTCAAAAAATTAAAGACAGAATTACCAGAAATTCTACCTCCAGCTATGTACTCAAAATAATTGAAAGCAGGAATTTGAACAGACATTTTTATGCTCATGTTCATAGCAGCAATAGCTGAAAGGTGGAAGCAATCCAACGTCTGCTGACAGATGAATGGCTAAGTCAGATGTGGTATACATATACAAGGAATATGATGCAGCCTTAAACAGGAAGGAAACCCTGACACATGCTACAACATGGATGAACCTTGTAGACATTATGCTAAGTGAAACAAGCCCGTCACAAAAGGACAAATACGGTTCCACTTATATGAGGTACCTAGAGTAGTCAAATTTATAGAGACAGAAGGTAGAATGGTGGCTGCCAGGGACTGGGCGGGAGGGAGGAAATGAAGAGTTATTGTTTAACGGATACTGAGTTTCAGTTGGAAAAGATAAAAACATTCTGGAGATGGACAGTGGTGATGGTTGCACAACAATGTGAATGTACTTAATGCCACAGAATTGTACACACAAAAATAGTTAAAATTGTAAATTTTATGTTAATATATATTTTACTATAATTTTTCTAAAACACAAAATTTCTCTTTCCACAGGCAATTTTACCAGAATTTTTGACGTGGATAGCTTGTGATCTCTTGGAAACCAGATATTTCCTTAGTTTGGGCTTTCCACCTACACAGGATTTCTTTTTAAATTAATTTGTAAAAGACATAAGGAAAAATACTTATTACACTTATATTTACACAAGGCTTAGGGAATTAGTAAAAGATGGCTTTTTTTTCACCAAGAATTTTTTAAGTGAGAAAGAGGCCGGGCATGGTGGCTCATGCCTTAATCCCAACATTTTAAGAGGCCAAGGTGGGTGGATCACCTGAGGTCAGGAGTTCGAGACCGGCCTGGCCAACGTGGTGAAACCCCATCTGTACTAAAAATACAAAAATTAGCCAGGTGTGGTGGTGGGTGCCTGTAATCCCAGCTAGTTGGGAGGCTAAGGCAGGAGAATCGCTTGGGCCTGGGAGGTGGAGGTTGCAGCAAGCCAAGATTGCAATTGCACTCCAGCCTGGGCGACAAGAGCAAAACTCCATCAAAAAAAAAAAAAAAAAAAAGGAAAGAAAAAAAGAAAAAGGAAGATAGGTAAGCAATTAACTATAATCTACAATGAAATAAAATCATGGACCAAGGGTAGAGGTAGAAGCAGTGAGTTCTGCCTGGGGTTTTGGGAAGGATCCCAGAGAAGGGTGTTTAAGGTAGACCTTAAAGAAGTCTTGGGAGTTTACGAATGGAGAAGAGAGGGTGAACATTAGAAAGTGGGATAAAGAGAGGTGAAGGGGACAGCACTGGGACATGAGGAAGACAACTGACACCCACATATCTCATCCCCTGAGACCACTGACCAGTCATAGGGCATCGAGGGACTTTAAGCATGGCTTGCTGAGCACCTGCCTTGATGAGGCAGTGCTGTCTTTACTGGGGAGATGACCCAGGAAATGAGCTGAACTCAGAAAGCAAAGTCAAAGCCAGCCACGTGTCAGGGCCAGAGTCGAGACCTTGGCTGGCTCAGTGGTGTGACTCTAGAGCAATACAGAGTACGCAGGAACTTCCTGTGCAAACAAGGAAATGGCCCCCTGCATGTTGGTGCCTGATGATGTGCAGCTGCGGGCTTCACATTCTGACAATGAAAAGAATAGAAGTTTTTAAAGTTAAATCTAAAGCTTTTGTAATGTTTCTTGGCAGCACCTAGGACCTGGCCAATCTGCAACTCATGTCTTCCCCCAGTATCCACACTCATGGACTTACCACTAGATGGTGGCATTCAGATGGTGCACAGCTGTGCAACCATCACCCCAGCCCAGGTAGGAAGGAGAACAGAACGTGCTTATGATCTGGAAGTTCATGGGTGCTGTGTCAGTCATTCTGCATTATGATCAGCTTGCGAAGAGGAGACAGAGGCCATGTAGAATTATAAGTCTTGGACCTGGCGGATCATCAAAGTTAACTCATTCAGCAGCTTATTGTCCATCAGTTGGGTCATTCTTGTCATGTGGCTGTTTCTTCTCTTTGAAGCCTCTGTCATGTGTTGACATGACACGTGTTGGAATGATTAAGTGGCTCAATGGAAGCACTTTTCTCTGTTCACTAAAGGAAGGTCCCTGCCTCTGTTGGGTATTTCTGCTCCAGGCAACCACAAAGATGGCCTTTGAGGCTCCTCTCCACATCCCCAGGCACCCTAAGAGAACACTTAATCCTTCTCCCAAAGCCACAATGTCTAAGATCAGTGAACATCCACACCCATCTCTTATCTGGCTGGGTCACAAAGTCTAGAGGACAGGCTATCTGAAGAATCCTACAAACCTACCCTTTCTTGTTTTCCAAGTTCCCAGGATCCAACCACCTCCTCAGGGTCAGGCCCTGGCATGCTCTTACTCACAAAAAACAAAACTTCTATACCTTACCCCTTTCCCTTCTTGGAAGCCTCCTTAATTCCCTCAGGTGGGCCTGATTCACAAATAGCTGGAAATTCCCTGCCTGGGGTCAAGGCACCCAGGTCTGGGAACACAAAGCCCTGGCTGCCTTTCCTGGAAGGGAAAGGGGAAAATTATCTTTCCATTGTTTTTGCTGATAGGTCACAGTAGCAAAAGAGATAAGCTACAATGAATTTCTCAGTATTTCACCTTGTTGTGCATTGAGATTTTCTCACTGGCTGATGTCTGGAGACAGGTGCGCTAGTCATATTCATCTGATATCATGATGTCAGGTGGAGACTTTCGATCCACTCATGGGTCTTTCTTTGCTCACTAGGGTGTAACTCTTGGACATTTTGGGGTGGAACCTGGATCACTGCTTAATTTCCTTAAATGGATATCCAACGCTGCTCCCAGCTCCACCTCATCCCAGGTCTGTTTCCTGTCTACTCCCAGTTATTCTCCCGCATCCCCAGGCACAAAGCCCCAAAGGGTCTGCTGTGATTTTTGAGTAGAATCATATTGATGCAGCAGGACCTAACCCTGGCAAAGCTGGGCGTGAGGGTTAGAAATGTGAGCTATGAACCCTCCTTACTTTCCTACAGTTCTAAAACTACTTTGGAACTAGTAATCCTGGCATGTCAGACCCGGAGGAGCACCGTCATTTGTGAACAAGCCAGCTGTCCCCAGGCCCAGGTCAAGAAAGCCTGTGATCTGATGGCCCAGCCTCAGCTATAGAGATAAGGCCCTTCTCTTCCGTGCTTTGGAATGATTAAGTGGCTCAATGGGAGCACTTTTCTCTGTTCACTAAAGGAAGGGCTGTGTTGGTTGGCTTTTTCTAGAGTGTTCTTTTAAGGAAGCTGTCCACCTACCAGAGTCTGTAAATTCTATTTACCATCTTGACAGAGTTCCTAGTGAAGCTGAAGCCTGTCTTCTCTCTCATGTCCAGACTCAGGGACTACACATTGGCCCAAGTTCTTTACATTAGAAGATTTTGGGACCTCTCTTTATACTTCCTTGTCCAGCCTCTCCCTGCAGTCTCAGAGGCTGAATCCAGTCTCATGTCTGGTGTCTGTGCTGAATGTCAGTGGTTTTAAGGCCTCTTCTGCATATCAGCCCTGGCCCTCCTCACCCACCTTTCCTTGGTCTGTAAGTCAAATCCTTTAACCTCTACCTGGGTGTAGCCCCCAGAGTTGGAGGGCATTTTGCCATGGCTGCTGCAGCCTGTGTGCAGGAACAGATACATCATCTGATGATCTGAATTATGTTTTCCAGATTTATCGCTTCACTCGCATACTCAGGCCAGTTGATATTTTAGGCACGTGAATCACAGTGTCTGGCATGGCTTTCTCTATAGCAGAGCTCCGGCAGCAGGCATAATGAAGTTGGGAGCGGGGAGAGTTCAACTTATCAGGGAGGAAAATTTGTGTCAGTAACAAGTCTGCCTGGCAACAGCACTAAAAAGAGAGATAGCAGGTCCCAACATCAGAGCCAAAATCTTCACACTAGTGGAGTAACATCACCCTGTGCAATTTTCCTACTTGGGTTGCTGCTTTCTCTCCTTTTTCCCACCCCCAAAAAAGGAAAATGAGAATGTCATACATGCATTCTCCAAAGGATATCCCCTAACCTGCCACGGAACAGGGAGAGGTTGATGAGCCGAAATGTCACCAGGCTGTGGCTATCCATGGATGTGTTATGAATGAATAATAAGAATTAAGCTTCTGCAGTGGAATTACGGGCACTGAAAGAAGTTGCCATGGGCAGAGCTAATTGACCCTCTGCCATTCAGTGTAGGATTCTGCTTGGAGAATGGGGCTCAAGACTAGGAGATAGGAAGATATTCATTTATTTTTTCTTACTCACCTAAGCATGCTCTATTATTATTTGGATCTCAGCTCACTGCAACCTTCACCTCCTGGGTTCAAGTGATTCTCCTGCCTCAGCCTCCTGAGTAGCTGGGACTACAGGTGTGCACCACCACACCCAGCTAATTTTTGTATTTTTAGCAGAGACGAGGTTTCACCATGTTGGCCAGGATGGTCTTGATCTCTTGACCTTGTGATCTGCCCGCCTTGGGGGGATTACAGGCGTGAGCCACCATGCCTGACCAATTATTAAATAAAATATAGAGTTTTCTATTTCTCAAGAAATCTATTCGGAATTGAGAAAGAAAGCAGGAGAACTGACCTGGACATCTGAACACTTTGGGGGGGACCTTAAGGGCAGTCATTGTGTCTTTACGTCTGGATCTCAATGTCCAGGGCAGTCATAGGCACAAAGTAGAAACTGAACGCGGGTGTGCTGAACTGACCTGGCCTCGGCTCCATTAGTACTTGGAATGCCTTTGGGTGGTCTCTTTACTCCTCCAGGCACCCTTTCACCATCTGAAGAATGAATCATTGATCTCTTCGAGATCTTCCCAGATCTGACATTATAGGCTTTCAAGGTCAAAACTAGTTTTAAAATCCTAAGAAAACAGAGAATTAAAAAAAGTTCCCATAAATGTTTCTATGTCAAATGCTTGATCATTGGGCTCTGCTTTATCATCAAAATGCGTGCATGCAAGTCTTCAGGCTTAAATGTTCCCATGAATACATCAGTCAGTGGTATCTGGGATACATTTACATTTTTAGCATTGGTGTAATTCTATTTGGTTTTATGCCACAGGAAGTTCAAGCCTGATTCAATTAAGGAGTTTCATAAAATGAGTTTTTAGAAGGAAAAGACAATGCATTGCACATGTTATACCACTGTACTTTGCATTGTTATACAATCAGGTATGTTAAAGGTGACTTTTGCTTCAGTCCAAGAATCTGTTAGCAATCCATAAAGTGGAATATTTTACTGTCTGATTTGGAAGCACGGAATTTAAGAGCTGGAAGGTAGGCAGGCATCTCCTACTAAAACAAGGGTAGGGAGACTTTTTGTACATTTTTGCATACCTCTCAGCTCCTAATGTAGTTCTCATATAAATACCAAAATACCTAAAATACCTAATACCAAACAGAAGGAGGCCTGGTTTCTAAGCCTGGGGATGAGAAGGTGGTCAGCAGCATAAAACAGAGTTGTGTACAGTTTGAGAGTGTGTCTCTTTGCATCAAAAATATTCAGAACAATATTTAAATTTCTGTCTGTCAGAGAAGGAGCAGAGACAACTGTGCAGAACTCTGCAGAGGGAGAAACTCTTCCTAGGTAACAGCTGCTGCTGGCCTTTTTCATAAAGTGCACATGCAAGAGGAGCAACCCTCTTGGGAAGCAGAGTTGATGACAACTCAGCACTTAAGGGAGGGAACTTAGAGCCAGTGCAGACAGACTGTGGAGTCCCAGCAACTGGATAAAACCTCTGGACTGAGCAAGCAGATGTGCTAGCAGTAGAGTCCAGAAAAGAAGCTCCAACAAAAAAGGATTAGAAGCAAAGATCCTGAGATGACCCAAATGGGAATCAAGAGGATAATACGGAGGTAGGAAATGGGAGGGAAAGTCCTAGGGACATTACCGAAATCACAGGAAGGCAGTAGAATCTTCAGTCCCTGGATCTTAACCAATGGGAAGTTAAAGGTGAAATAGAAAAGGCAGGACTCAAAGTCAAACCCGAGGAAGAGAGAGAGTTGAATACTGGGTAATGGAGAAAACGTTTAAAGCTGGGAGAATTGAGAATAGAGAACAGTAAAGGCAGCAAATTCAGAAGATAGTGAGTCCTAAATGTCTAGAGTTTTTATTATATGATACTTGACCATACCTGACTGGGGTAACCGTTTAAAGGAAATACATAGTAGTTTGGAAAAGACAACAAAATAAGAAGATCCAAAAAAATGATCAGGACAGAACTATCTCCCTTAGACAATGTCCTTGGATATTAGAAGTGAATATAAGAACACAGTCTGAAGACCCAGCAGAAAAGAGTTGGAACCATAGGAGTTTGAATGCATTATCCATAGATTGTAGGAACATTTACTATTTCATAAAACCAGAAGTTAAGTGAGAGAGGGCAGTTCCAGGGTCATTTAAATCAGGGGCCAATGCTGACAACAAGGACCCAGACTCGTTGCATCTATCCCCTTTCCTATCCATAGAATGGTGTCCTCTTAGGATGGCTCTCCTCATGGCTTCTGTGGGAAACAGAGAAATCCTTTCACTTGGGTAACTTCTTAAGAGCAAGGAATCCCTTCCCAGAGAGCCTCTTGCAAGTTTCCCTTACATCTTTTCAGCCAGAAGTGCCTTACTCTCCCATGAAAAGCAGTCCTTTGGCAAGGGAAATGAGCTCAACAGGCTATGAGGCACTGACAAAGGTCCCTTCTCAGGGACTTCTTTCGCCAAAGCACACAACCATTCAGATGGGGGTGAACAGAATCAGGATTCACCTTGCAAAGGAGAAGGAGCTGCACATGGAATTGCTCTGGTTAATGGCAACTGGATGTGGGTGGGAAGCATTCCTGAACCAGGGTGGTCTCAACCTCCCCTTTGGCTCTCCGCCCTCCTTCTGTTGGGGAGGACTAACTGAGGTCAAGAGAAGTGAGGTAACATACCCACTTGTTGTCTCAGACAGCCCTCAAATCTCACCACCCTCATTCAGTTCAGTGCACTTTCCACCACAACGCACTGTTTTCTCCGGGTAACATTTTAAATCACCTTCGTTGAGGTTCAGTGCAGGGCAAACATTTTGCCATGATATTAGAAGACGTATCCACCATGGCCATAATGAGGTGCAGCCACTTTGGTGGAAACAGCAGGGAGTTCACAATCAACTCTGGTTTGACTCTTGACTCTTTTCTAGCTGAGGGGCACGGGGCAGCTACTTGCTTTCTCTAGGCCCATCTCTACCACCCTTTCTTTGGCATGTGAGTTCATTCAAAGGAGGTAGTGCTGTGAGGGATGTTAATATGGTTTGGTTCTGTGTCCCCGCCCAAATCTCATGTTGAATTGTAATTTCCAGTGTTGGAGGAGGGGCCTGGTGGGAGGTGACTAGATCATGGATGGATTTCCCCCTTGCTGTTCTTGTAATAGTGAGTGAGTTCTCACGAGAACTGGTTGTTTAAAAGTTTGTAGCTCCTTGCTCTTCACTCTCTTCTTCCTGCTCCAGCCCTGTAAGATGTGCCTGCTTCCCTTTCATCTTCCGCCAGGATCATGAGTTTCCTCAGGCCTCCCCAGCCATGCTTCCCATAAAGCCTGCAGAACCATGAGCCAATTAAGCCTCTTTATAAGTTGCCCAGTCTCAGGTATTTCTTTATAGCAGTGCACGAATGGACTAATACAGATATCATGGCAATAAATGGGGCATTCTGTAAGTCTATGAAAAATGGTTTTGGCCTAGGGGCTATGGACATGGAGATGTGGAAAATAAATACCCCTATTTTTCTGTCCTGTCGTTCTCTGAGCTTCATTACTATTTCCCATCCTTGGCCAAAGCAAACAAGAAGTTGAAGAGAAAGATAAGGGCAGGGAGTGGGTGAGGGGAGGGTTAGTATGGGCAAAAGAAAATAAGCAAAAGAGTTGTTGTGTGTGCCTGGTATATACTAGATATATGACTATACACGGATACTATTTTTGTTGTTTTTTATTTGTTTTGTTTTCTAAATAGAGATGGGGTCTCACTATGTTGCCCAGGCTGGTCTCAAACTCCTGGGCTCAAGTGATTCTCCTGCCTTGGCCTCCCAAAATGCTGGGATTACAGGAGGGAGCCACTATGCCAGGTCTTTTTGTTTTTTTTGTTTTTTCTTTTTTAGAATCCTGAAGTCAAGTTCTGGAAAAAAGAAAAGTCAAAGTTCGCAGAGATAAGGAATAATGTTGGCACACTAGACGGTATATTGGGGACCATGGCTCCCAGTCCTCCTGTTCCTCAGCTCTCTCACTGTCCTGCCTGTGTCAGTGCCTCATGGACCCCAGTCTCTGCATCCCCGATGAGTTCCTCCACTCTAACTAAACTGGCCTGTCAGGGCAAGTCTGACAGGAGCTGTGGGGATGACAGCATAGAAGACTATGTGTCTCCAGCTATGATGACAGCACCCTTATAGCATGGCTCTTCAGTCATTTTTCCTGATGTGATGGTGATTCCAGCTGACCAGTCAATACAGCCATGCCCTCTTCCCTGTACTCATCAATGACCAGCAAGAGGTCAGGACACCATTCCACTCTAAACCCAAGAGCCAAACTTCTGCTGTCCATGTGAGCTTCTCCTAGCTCAGAGATGCGTCAGTGTGCAAC